CTGACCAGTGAAACTTGCATCATAAGTTTGTATCTCACTAATATCGTTAGACATAGAACTCCTTAATTTATGAAATATTAAATTCTTAATGTGATGCTTTTAGCGAACCAACTGCTGAACCTGTTAGATAGCCTAGACTTGGGCGTGTCAACAATGATGGAATGGACGCACCTTAGCTTGTGGGTCTGGCTAGGCTAGAAAACAAATATGTGAGCACAGCCGCCTGGTGCCGGCGTGGGGATTCCTCTGTAGATTTTCTAAATATCTCATATGATCAAAACACTCTACATGCTAAAGTAATTATCACGCTGTCAGAGGCGTCACACTGACGTTTTACCGGCGTTTTAATTAGGATCAAGTGGAATTTCCAGTTGAAAGGTAAAAACCTTACGTGGCCGATTAGAGTGACCTCAAGCGGAGGATAGGAAAAGTACGAGTACTACTTAGAACGGAAAAATACAGACTGTCTGCTACAGAGAACAAACAGTAGCTATATTTGAATATTGTAGAGAATATATTCACAATAACACACAAGCTTTATTCTAACAATGTGTAGAATAGCTATTTAAAAAGTCGGATTTTATAATAAAACAGTAGATTTATTATAATATTGTCGAGAATATCTCGGCTGTTCTACAGGTAGGACGTTGCAGTTGTTAAGAGATATCTTTACCAGATACTGTTACAACCTTTCAGCTCAGTTGGTAAAGAACTCGTTTGTAGTGCGAGAGATGACGGGTTCGAATTCTGTAAGCGAAAGATGCAAAAATTACCAAAAGAAACACTGGTATATTACGTTAAACTTATTTTTCTGTGGTAATCCAAGATTACTATCTGGGAGCTAACCCTACACCTCTCTCACATCAAGCGATCTTTCAACCACCCGAGTTAAAAGATTGATTCACTATCGTTTGGGCCCGGCATGGCCTGGTGGTTAGGGCGCTCGACTCGTAATCTGCGGGTCGCGGGTTCGAATCCCAGTCCCACCAAACATGCTCGCCATTTCAGCCGTGGGGGCATTATAATGTGACGGTCAATCCCACCATTCGTTGGTAAAAGAGTAGCCCAAGAGTTGGCGGTGGGTGGTGATGACTAGCTGCCTTCCCTCTAGTCCTACACTGCTAAATTAGGGACGACTAGCGCAGATAGCCATCGTGTAGCTTTGCGCGAAATTAAAAAAACAAGAAAAACAAAAAAAACAAATCACTATCGTTTGATGCTTAACCTTTTTTTTTAACAACGTAGCCTACCACACGTAAACGGCAGGTTTATTCGAATATTGTAGAAAATATTTAGAACGATGTTCTACAGGTTAAATATTTTAATTAAATAGCAGCTTTATTAGCATATTCTAAATAATGTTTATACCTTAGCTCTGCCGCTCGGTGTTGCAGTAAACAGAAACTTTATAATATTACAGGGAATATATATACAGTTGTTTTACAGGTTGGGCAAGGGCGTTGCTGAGCACAGAACCAGTGCTTCGGTTGAATTTCACAGTGTCCCGAATCTGTCTTACTTGTATTGTCATTATGCTTTAATTGTCTTGAGTAGTAGCTACTTCTTTGTGACCAAGCCCGAATCTTTTCTGTAGCAGCGACTCTCCTGGGGTTGGGTTTTCCAGTCGACATTCATGTTACTATTTTTTGCTTCGAACATGATGGTTCAATGTTTAGCTAAAGCCCTCAAATATAAGGATTATAAAGTTTGAAACTTAAACCTAAAACTACCAGTGGGATCCGATGAACACCGTTTGATTTGTTTCAAAAACATTTTGTAAACTGTTTATGGGGTTATTTGGTACGGTCAGTCACATATTCTCTTTTTACTTTTACCTTTGGTGGACAAGAAATATATTTGTAAACTATTTGTGCTTCCAGTTGCGCGTAATTCCACGATTTTCTTGGTCTCAGGATTACTGATGGCATGCGAGTCATAATAAAATTAAAAAATACCATCAATATTGCAATTAGACCCATATCCCCTGTGTATTTTACATAGAAAATGGTAATTTCACCCAGTTTCTGTATTCTTTACACTGAATAAAGAATACTCGGTATGATGTTATATTTGGGCCCTAACGGTATCACATAAACTTGATGGTTGAGGACGACAAATAATCTCAACTTGTACACTCACTCACATAAACTTGATGGTTGAGGATGACAAATAATCTTAACTTGTACACTCACTCTTATGCCTCTTTTTTTTCTAGGTCGTACATATTCCTCCTTCATCTGTGCAATTTAAGTTTTTACGAACACGTTATGGGTCCGCCTTTTTTTTCATTCCTCCAAAATGAACTTATTAATGCCAACTTAGAGACATATTTTAAATCAGTTTTCTTTAATCAGCTGTTTCTCACGATGAAGTAACATTGGCTTGTTAAAATACGCTTGACATCGGTCATTGGTGCGTGTGATCGGAATTCTCCTGCTCTTAATCAATAGTTGTTAATGTCTAAGCATGAGTTAGCTGCTATTTAACTAACCCCCCTTTGTATAATTGTACGTAATGGTAGTTCTGAAGCTATAAACGACTGCTTTACTAATGAATTCGACTGGTTTAAAGTAACATTCCGTGACGTTTTTGAAAGGATTGACACAGTTGAAGGTCAGAACGAACCGTCTCCTCCAAGGGATCTTGCCTTTGTTTAGATCCTCTACTCGTGGGTGCCATCCTCGTAACGAATCTTGTCCATTACTGAATTGTCCCTTATTGGAAATATTACCCTCTTTATAGACCTCATTTACAGACGGAATCACTCATTTTTACACACAATTTCTTACCCACCAGTATCGATTATTTCTTCCAGGGTAATAACTATCTTTTCATAGGATCCCCCCCCCCGCGCAGCCCATCTATAATATAAGGCATCAATCACAAATTCAGATCCATTTTTTTCCCTTCCTACAAATCATATTCTACCAGTTGTCACTTTTTACACACCATATTACCCATGGAAACCGACCCTTGCAAGAGCTATCGCAATCTGCGGGTCGAGGGTTCGAATCCCGGTCACACCAAACATGCTCGCCCTTTCAGCCGTGGGGGCGTTATAATGTGACGGTCAATCCCACTATTCGTTGGTAAAAGAGTAGCCTAAGAGTTGGCGGTAGGTGGTGATGACTAGCTGCCTTCCCTCTAGTCTTACACTGCTAAATTAGGGACGGCTAGCGCAGATAGCCCTCGTGTAGCTTTGCGCGAAATCCATAACAAACCAACCAATCGCTCACTTGCAGTCGTATAAACATACATCTGGAAGAAGAGCCAAATGTCTAAGTTGGCCATTTCACTAAGCAGCTGCGAGTAGTGTGTGAGTTCTAAATAAAATTTTCAAAGAAGCGTGTTATTTAAACGTGTTTGTGAAAATATATAAATTATTTTATTTTTATAGCGGTTGAGAAAATGTATCCAAAATGATGTGGTAATTAAATATGACATATTATTTAAGCTGCGTTGTAGTTTGGCGAGCCCTCAGAAAGTTGGGAAATTAATATATTTTCTCACACTGGCTAAGGCTTGTTTGACTGTAAAGATTAAGGTAACACCTAGCCCTAATATAGGGTCTGCAACGCGGTTTTTTTAAACAGGGTCTTAAATTAGACATGCACGCAGGCTCTATATTTGTTGGGTATTGAAGGTAAATTATAACATGTCAGTAAGGGAGAGGCATCGCTCATAAGTGTTAATTACTATTTACTCGTGGAATTTATGGAAGAGAATAAATGACAAGGCTCCAGCCTGGTGGTGTATATTTACATATATATTATTAGAGTTAAGGTAGAGGGAGCTACGAGAATATCGCCGACCGAACTAATTAGTGTATCTTGCACTGCCTACTGCCGTCAAGACTAAAAACCTAACTTTCTTCGCTCTTGTAACGGTTTTTTACTGATATAGTTTCTTCTGTCTTCGTCAATGTTAAATCCAGACCTTTCCACCGGGGAATGAGGGAACGTGAAGCTGGGGTGGGGGGATTAAAACGTTCGTAACATGGTTAAAATATTTCGGGGGGTTGCAAAAGAGGAAACTCCTCCCCTGTACCCCCGAATTGAATTCAACATAGGTTTTAACTTCACATCCTTTATTATCAGTGTCAATGGTTCTGAATTCCCATGTTTTAGAACCATCTGTTTACTACTGTCGCTCTAATAACTAAAGTTTATTTGTTTTGTTCTATTTTACGTTTGGCCGTAATGTAAACTCGTAACGAATACGCCAACCACGTCCTTGAAAATCGTTACCAGGTGCTAATTTACATACAAAAATCGAAGAAAAAACTAAAATAATTTAAGCATCTCGGAAAATGCGGGATTATATTTTGAGATAATTTCGAACGTTTTCTTCAGTTTTATTTCAAATCAGAAATATTACATCATTGTATTAGAAACGACTTTCATAATTACTATCAGAAAGATTTGCTCTTAGTCTTTCAATAAAAACGTATATTCAAAGTAATGGTGACCATCGTACAGCATTCACTTGAACAGTAAACACTACTACGTTACTACTTCCCAGAGTGATAACACTATACATCTCACACCTGAACAGTAAACACTACTACGTTACTACTTCCCAGAGTGATAACACTACACATCTCGCACTTGAACAGTAAACACTACTACGTTAGTACTTCCCAGAGTGATAACGCTACACATCTCACACTTGTTACTGTTCCCTTGAGTGATATAAATATAGAGCATTATTACTCCCCCTAGAATATATAAATCAAACAAATCCAATAACTATCACTTGATACTTGATCTTAAATAACGAAACTGAAATATGCTTGTTTCAACTCAACGTTTCACCCAATAAACATGGCGTAGTTTAACACATTTCCACTGTTATTAACAACTATGTTAGATAGACAAAAATATAAACTCACGATTATATTTTTTTTTCCTAGGAAAGTTTGGTACCCAGTTATAAAATATAAAGAAAGGTATTGAAGATTAAATTACTAATTGTTATTTACTTATTTTGTCTTCTTCCAGCCTGTAACTGTAACCTTCACGCCAGAAAATGTCGCTTCAACATGGAATTGTACAAATTATCAGGACGCACGAGTGGTGGCGTCTGTCTCAAGTGTCGACATAACACTGCCGGCCGCCATTGTCATTATTGTAGAGAGGGTTATTTCAGGGATCAAGAAAAACATATAACCCACCACAAAGCTTGCCGACGTGAGTAACCTAGTTCGTTCGTGTTTTCCAAAAAATTAAAAATATAATAGTTTTTCATTTAATATTTCCTTTGAAAATTACAGTTTTTCATTTAACATTTCCTTTGAAAATTACAGTTTTTTATTTAAAATTTCCTTTGAAAATTGCAGTTTTTCTTTTAACATTTCCTTTGAAAATTGCAGTTTTTCTTTTAACATTTCCTTTGAAAATTGCAGTTTTTCTTTTAACATTTCCTTTGAAAAATTTTATTGCACTAAAGAATTTACTAAAGTTGAAAAAATGGAAACGAAAGGTTAAGTTTTAGATTTATTTGAGATTATAAACAAATATTAAATTTCTTTTAATATATTTGTGTTATAAGTTTCTTTCTGGAGGCTTTGATGCTAAATATCGGGTTTCGATACCCGCAGTGGGCAGAGCACAGATATCCCATTATATAGTTTTGTTCTTAACATTACAAAATATAAAGGAGGATATTTAAGAAACTTCTTTGAATGGACGGCAAGTTCCTGTTGTAGAAACACATGTGACCTGAAGACGAAATGCAGAAGACTTTCGAAACGTCGTCCTCTACACTTGTGTTTCTACAACAGGCAGTTGCCGTCCATTCAACAAAATGTCATCATGAATACTCTGCCTAAACAATCTATCAAAGAAGGATATTTAATTCTCTCCTAGCGGTAAAAACCGGTTATATAAAATCAGTTTCATGGCACTTTCTCGATAAGGTTCGATTCCCAAAGATTGCTGTCAGCGTTACAGTGTAAGATCGTTTCATGTTAAAAAAAGAAGTTTCGGCCAAAGAGACTGCACTGGACTGAAGCTAAAGCTGACGTTTCGAACTGTTGGTGCAGGTTTTGATCGGGTCAAACATCGCGAGTTGTGGGGTGTAATATAGCAGGAAGGTAAGGGCGTGAGAGGGACTGGAGGAGCGTAGAATTCTGAAAAGTTTAAAGTGATAACTCGAAATAAAATTGTACTGAAATAATGAAGAAAGCAGCTATAAACGAGTAGTCTTGTTTTCTTCGAAGAAAAAAAACGGACCAGAAGAAAACAAGATAAATAAAAAAAAATGTGAATTTAAAAACCTGCGAATAGGGATCGTAAAAAGTGAGGAAACAAGGCTGGGGATACTGTAGACATTATTTACTCAAACTACAAACCCTTACTATTTTGGCTTCATGCTGTTACCTAGAATTATATTTGGTGGAGTCAAAATAGGGATTTGTAATTTGAGTAAATAATGTCTACAATATCTCCATCCTTGTTTCCATACTTTTTTTACGATCCTTATTTACAGGTTTCTAAATTCCCAATTTCTTATTTATCTTGTTTGCTGGCCTTTTTTTTATGCACAGTTATGGACAAAGAATTACTTGATATGGTAGCTAACTTTATACATTGTAATGATAATAAACATAGCTTGTAGCTAGCTAATACGGTTCATGATGATTTATT